ATCTCTCTAATATCAGTTAATGCATTGGCCTAAATAAATAAAACATACGTTGTACTACTTTATTAAACTTGAGGTACACTGCTTCATCTGACCAGTTTTATCTCACTAATGTCAGTTAATACGTAGGTCTAGATAAATAAAACATACGTTGTACTACTTTATTAAACTTGAGGTACACTGCTTCAACTGACCAGTTTTATCTCTCTAATATCAGTTAATGCATTGGCCTAAATAAATAAAACATACGTTGTACTACTTTATTAAACTTGAGGTACACTGCTTCATCTGACCAGTTTTATCTCTCTAATATCAGTTAATGCATTGGCCTAAATAAATAAAACTTACGTTGTACTAAACACTTTATTCCATTTAATCAATTCAATATATCTTCTTAATCTGGTGATCAAGTTGAAGTAGCTGTTTGAGAAACACACTAATCAAACAGTAGGATAAGTTACTTTTAAACACTGTGATAAACTGGAAAGTTTCTAATTGACATTCATTTCTTTAAACACAAATTAGGCTTAAAGTTGGTTGATTAGAATGGAATTAAGAATTTCTTTGAAGAAGTCATTTATTTTGATCTAACAAGTCTGACTAGTTTATCAATTTGTCTTTTATTTCATCTCAAGTGAGAGGTGCATGCAAGTACAGTTAAAAATAATTTACACAACCTGCCTTTTCCTCTTGCTTCAGAGTCATGCGCAGTGGATTTCTTTAACAAAGCGATGTCAAGAGACTCGGCGCCCTGTAGCTTGGATATCCTATCCTGTTCATGTGTAGACATACTGTTCGTTCGTCAAACACAGAGACTTTGTGAGTTTAGTTTCGCTTGTCATGAGGATTGAAGTTATTACAGTATTATCATCTTTAATTCTCTGCTCGCTTGGAAGAGGTAAGTGTAATGATATTGAAGTTGTAACGAATATTGGAGTTGTTTATTTGGTTAGTTTGTATATTTCTTTGCTCACAACTAACAGCCTAAAGAACTTCAGGTGTTTGGATAACATGTAACATACTGTAACAATTTATTATCCGGTATTATTCTTCTGAATAACTGGTTATTTATTTATTTTTTCATTGATTTTCTTTACCAAAACGGGAATTTCAGTGAAGAAAGCTTACGTAGAGGTGTAATCTATTTTTGATTCGCTAGTTTCTGCTACAGCAGACCAGTTTCGCTGAATTCACAGCTCATGAGTGTTACTTAGAAACAAATAAAGTAAATATCAAATGTTAAGTCTTTTACTCACAACTAATAACCTAAAGTACTTTAGGTGCTTTCATAACACACGACATTGAAGTAATTATGGTATTATCACTTACAGTTCTCTACTAACTAGGTACAGCTAAGTGTAATGATGATGTCTCAGTTGATACTAGAAATTGGAATGAAGTTATTACAGTATTATTATGTGTAGTTCTCTACTAACTAGGTACAGCTAAGTGTAATGATGATGTCTCAGTTGATACTAGAAATTGGAATGAAGTTATTACAGTATTATCACTTATAGTTCTCTACTAACTAGGTACAGCTAAGTGTAATGATGATGTCTCAGTTGATACTAGAAATTGGAATGACATTATTACAGTATTATCACTTACAGCTCTCTACTAACTAGGTACAGCTAAGTGGAATGGTGATGTCTCAGTTGATACTAGAAATTGGAATGAAGCTATTACAGTATTATTATGTGTAGTTCTCTACTAGCTAGGTACAGCTAAGTGTAATGATGATGTCTCAGTTGATACTAGAATGAGAAATGACGTTATTACAGTATTATTATGTGTAGTTCTCTACTAACTAGGTACAGCTAAGTGTAATGATAATGTCTCAGTTGATACTAGAAATTGGAATGACATTATTACAGTATTATCACTTACAGTTCTCTACTAACTAGGTACAGCTAAGCATAATGATGATGTCTTAGTTGATACTGTAATTATTTATATAAACATGAGCTCGAACGAAGCACCTATCCAAATTGTCCATCTTTCAACTTCAAGATAATATTACCACAGAACTTATGGTGACAGTAACTCTCTTGGAATAGTAATAAGATATCATAAAATATGCGGATTTAGTCGATACTTCCATGATCGTTACTCCAAAACAAACAGTAAAATTAAAACATTTGGAACCAGTCAGGCCAAATCGTTGAAGACTTAGTTGCATGTAAGTAAATCCAGGGCCTCATCGTGCAGCATTTTCATCATTAATTCCTAGCGGCAGCTTTATAAAGTCACGCAAACCTAAAGGTATGTTAATTGACATTAAGTCCGGAAACAATATATCACACTCAGTTATCAGAGGTATGTTAATTGACATTAAGTCCGGAAACAATGTCTCACATTCACTTATCGGAGGTATATTAATTGACATTATGTCCGGAAACAATGTCTCACACTCAGTTATCGGAGGTATGTTAATTGACATTAAGTACGGAAACAATGTCTCACACTCACTTATCAGTTTCCAGGAAGGCTGATGATCTGTTTCCAGTATTTACAACGGAACCGCCGAGCTACGTGCCCTTTCTCAACTCCAGTGGAATGGTCATCTCTTGCTCTTTGACCGGACGTCCGGCTACAGTAGTGACCTGGAGAAAAGCTGATGGCTCTCCACTTACAAATATTCCTCGATTACGATACATTCGGTCGGATGGAGCACTTCTTTTTCCACCTTTCCATCCAGGAGATTACAGACCGGAAATACACAACGCCATCTATCGGTGTGTTTCTAGCAGCACAGTTGGATGTTTAGGATCAAGGGACGTTCGCGTGAGAGGAGGTAAGATGTTCAGAAGATAAAATACACTCCTACTTTTAAATACATGCTTCTTTTTGTTTATCATTTTATCAATGTTTTCAGAGATCAATTACCATTTTCAATTTATCGTTTGTATTTTTTTAATTATGCATCATGCATTATAACAACGTTTGAAAATAATTTGTTTTTGGAATTTCTCGCAAAGCTATGCCAGGGCTATCAATCCTAGCCGTCCCTAATTTTATAGTGATAGACTAGATGGAAGGTAACTTAATCAACACCATTGTTGGACTACTATTTTTAACAACGAAATATCGAGAATGAACTACACATTATAACGCCCCACTACTGAAAGGGCGAGCATATCAGGTGACAAGTTTTGATCCAGCAACCGCACATTTAGTATCAAGCGACCTAAATATCAGGATCTTTTAATAGAAAAACTCTCTAAATAAGTTTAGTTTTCTCATTTGGATCAACAATAAAACTGTATAATATGACATTTAAAACAGAGTAAGATTGTTAAGGAGTTTTTCAACTAATCATTGTGGCTGTTGACTGATGAGTTTATGATATTAGAACAACAGCCGTCCTAGGGACCATCTCCGAGATATGTAATGTATAATATTCCGAACATTCTTACTATCGTTGTATGGAACAGTATACAAAACCTTTCGACTTCTACATACCTACAATTGTACTATGCACGCAATGAGAGGGGGGAGGGGAGAGTATGGGAAGTAGAGTATTGGACAACCTCTGCCACGCCCTGTCACTGGAGACTTCACCAGAAATAAAGGCCTACATTTACAGCTGTATTTTGCAGGATGTACAGATATAAGGTTATCTCGTTCACAATAAGACTTTACCAAAAACAAAGGCCTACATTTACAGCTGTATTTTGCAGGATGTACAGATATAAGGTTATCTCGTTCACAATAAGACTTTACCAGAAACAAAGGCCTACATTTACAGCTGGATAAGGAGAGACAAAACTGCTTCTTTCATAACAAAACAAAAGTCAATTATATGTGTTTCAGATAAATCTTCAGGAAATTGGAAATGATATCAAACTAACATACATGATGAAGACAGTCAAGGCTTCCCTAGGGTGTTGTCAATTTCACAAACATAGTGCGTGACGTCACGTTTCTCTTCTTATTACAGGCTATTTGGCACTAAACATTTTATCTTACAAAATTCTGAACATTAAGTGTCATTACTGTTTAAAGTTGAGTACTTGTACGCTCGATAGTGTCGTAAGGTAAAGTTATAGCTGAGAAAACACTTCTGAACGCTGATGTAGTTCGGAGTGGTTGATTGATTTTTCAATTATAAACATGTACCTCGAGTATGCACTTATTACAAATATCAACCGCTGCAAAGCTTCGTAAACTTTTTGAAACAATACATTTTAAAGGAATTGGACATAATCTTGATAACTGAATGCTTATATTTTAAATTGATAGCTTTCTTTCACTCGTAAGAACATTAAGTCAAGTTTGAAGTAGATGAAAACATTAACTGACAAGTCAAGTGGACTTTAGACTGTGATTTACGTGTGTATGTTTCATGTACTTAATATATACATATGTGTGTGTATTTGTACATATTAATATGTGTGGATGTGTAAGTTTGGATATATGTAAGAATGGATGTATCTGTACTTATGGATGGATATGTACGTATGGATCTGTGAGTATGTATAGATATGTGTGGATTGGTGAATGTGTAAGTTTGGATATATCTAAGCATGGATGTATCTGTACTATGGATGGATATGTACGGATGGATGTTTGTATGCATAGATGTATGTGTACATATAGATATGTGTATACATGTGAATGTATGTGTACATGTGGATATATGTATACATGTGAATGTATGTGTACATGTGGATATATGTATACATGTGAATGTATGTTTACATACAGATATGTGTATACATGTGAATCTATGTTTACATATAGATATATGTATACGTGTGAATGTATGTTTACATATAGATATATGTATACGTGTGAATGTATGTGTACATGTGGATATATGTATACATGTGAATATATGTGTACGTATGGATATGTGTATACATGTGAATGTATGTGTACATGTGGATATATGTATACATGTGAATGCATGTGTACATGTGGATATATGTATACATGTGAATGCATGTGTACATGTGGATATATGTATACATGTGAATGTATGTGCACATGTGGATATATGTATACATGTGAATGTATGTGTACATTTCGATATGTGTATACATGTGAATGTATGTGTACATATAGATATGTGTATACATGTGAATATATGTGTACATATAGATATGTGTATACATGTGAATGTATGTGTACATGTGGATATATGTATACATGTGAATGTATGTGTACATTTAGATATATGTATACATGTGAATGTATGTGTACATGTGGATATATATATACATGTGAATGTATGTGTACGTATGGATAGATGTATAAATATGGATGTATATTTACGTATGGATAGATGGATGTGTATCGTGTAAAACTCTTAAGACACACAATAAACGTTCTATTAAAAACCAAAGGACCAACTTCGGTTTGATCAGCATTTGGAACTCCTGGAGGTATGTTATTTTCTTACAGCAGCAAAATACTACAGAGAAGCCCTCTTTTGTATAACACAGTGTACACAGTACTGGCTCGGATTCTGTTTTCGATTCGAATAGAACTTAGCTTCGCTTGCTTAGTTGTTAAGTTATCTGACGAATGTTGACTTTAGTTACACACAAAGAGACGCTTCGTTTCAAAGATGTGAGCTCCGATTTCAGGCACGGCGAGATGAAGCGTTGTCAAATTTTCTTATCAGACCGACACGGTGTGTAATAAATTAAACAACGACACCCATAGTTTTCTGTTCTATTTGTTAATTTGTCCTGAATGTCAACCTTTCTTTAATAATCGCGTGAAAGAGAAAAGAAAAAGCAAATATATATATTCTATATATACAACTATCTATATTACATACAAGACAAGAAACGGAGCGCTTCGTTAACCAAGCGCTTCGTTCACCAAGTCACCTTTAGCTCGAACCAACATATACGCTACCAATACGATCAAGTAGATGATACGTAGTAAAACTAACTTATTAGCGTTTCGTACGGTATACCTGCTAGCAGTACGTTGTAGTGAAATAATACGTAGAATATACTAACTTACTAGGGTTTAGTACGGAATACGTGCTCGCAGTACGGTCTATGAGATAATACGCAAAATAAATCAACTCAATGTCTGTCGTTTCGTAGTGCTACGTTCCACCAATGGTTTTATGTTATGTTGCTTATCAACAACAGTGTGAGTTTTTATTTGTTGTGGAATGATATAGAATGTTTTTTTATTATAATGGAATGTTATATAGTGTTTCAACTATTATGGGATGTTATAGAAATGTTCTTTTTAAGTATAACCTGACACGGTTGTTAGTCTATACACTGAAAGTGTAAAATGAAATGTCTAGACAGCGAAACTGAAAAAAATATTTGTTGATTTCTTAAATTAATGTCTCGCCTTGATTAAAAAGTTTTTTTTTAGTTTTTTAAACCTTGGTGATATAACAACAACACAATTTAATTCAGAAATCATTTGTGTTTAAAACTGAATTAGTATTTTTTCCTGATCAACTTTATTCACTTGGGTCTAGGCTATGTGATTTCATAGTATGTCTTCACTTTAGGCTTAATTACAATAAAATAGTATCTTAGGCTTACTTATCACATCCTGATATAGTTAACTGACATCTTATTATATATATTTTTGTAAGTGTTTGATGAAAATTTCTAACACTTATTTAGTATTGAGTTCTATACAAGAGCAAAGTAAAATTTACCAAGGATTTGTATGAAAAAAATGTTAATTCAATAAAGAAAATGTTATTACATTTGTTTTTAAGCAAATTAGACTGAATGCAATGCATTGTTGGCAGAAATGTTTTAGTTTCTATACAGTGGATGTACTCAGTGCATTAGAATGATCAGGTTCGCTAAGTAGCTGCGGGGATTTATTAGAATGATCAGGTTCGCTAAGTAGCTGCGGGGATTTATTAGAATGATCAGGTTCGCTAAGTAGCTAGCTACTTAGCGAAGCTGATCATTCTAATAAATCCCCGCAGCTACTTAGCGAACCTGATCATTCTAATAAATCCCCGCAGCTACTTAGCGAAGCTGATCATTCTAATAAATCCCCGCTTTCTATATACATCCACGTCAGGTGTTTAGCTGACCTCTGTACACATCAATGTCAGGTGTTTAGCTTATTTGTGTGCGTATCCATATCCTGTGTTTATCTGGTCTCTGTACGTATCCATGTCAGGTGTTTATTTGGTCTATGTACACATCTATGTCAGGTGTTTAGCTGACCTCTGTACACATCTATGTCAGGTGTTTAGCTGACCTCTGTACACATTCATGTCAGGTGTTTATATGGGCTGTGTACACATCCATGTCTGGTGTTTATCTGGTCTCTGTACACATTCATGTCAGGTGTTTATCTGGTCTGTGTACACATCCATGTCTGGTGTTTATCTGGTCTGTGTACACATCCATGGCTGGTGTTTATATGGTCTGTGTACACATCCATGTCCGATATTTAGCTGGTCCCTGAACACATCAAAAGATCTAAGAAAAGGATAACTTTCAGCAGTAGTATCTATCCATATATAATAGGTATATGACGCTCCAGTTTTTTTTGTTGCTAACTGGAAGGTAGGTGTATTTGGTCTTGTTTCTTTAATATATATGTGTACATGAGTCCTTGTTTTAGCGGACAAAAACACAAACCTATTCGTACGACTTATGTTATTAATGAAACTAGCATATGTCTGTTGAAGGAATTCAACAATGATTTTTCCTAAAAATAGTGATCAATAAATAAAGAAATGTGGTGCTTTGGTTCCTAGTATATACAATGCATTGCTGGCAAGAATGTTTGAGTTTCTATACAATGGGTGAATCCAGCGGCAGTAATCCCCGCAGCTACTTTGCGAAGCTGATCACTTTAATAAATCCCCGTTTTCTGTATACATCCACGTCAGGTGTTTATTCTCTGTAAGCATCCATGTCAGGTGTTTATCTGATCTCTGTACACATCCATATTCTGTGTTTAGGTGAGACCAAAAAAAACCTAACATGGATACGTATAGAGACCAGATAAACACTTCACATAGATGATTACATAGACCAGCTAAACACCTGACATGGGTGTGTACAGAGAAGAGCTAAACACCTGACATGGATGTGTACAGAGACCAGATAAACACCTGACATGGATACGTATAGAGACCAGATAAACACCTGACATGGGTGTGTACAGAGAAGAGCTAAACACCTGACATGGATGTGTACAGAGACCAGATAAACACCTGACAGGGATACGTATAGAGACCAGATAAACACTTCACATAGATGAGTACATAGGCCAGCTAAACACCTGACATGGGTGTGTACAGAGACAAAAAAACACCTGACATGGATACGTATAGAGACCAGATAAACACGTGACCTAGATGAGTACCGAGAATAGCTAATTATCTAACATGGATGTTTACAGAGACCAGGTAAACATCTAATGATCTTTTATCATTTTTAAAATTTTAGGTTTCACACAGTACAAATTACTGGCTTTTATTTTATAATGCTCAATAAGTTTTATGTGATGGAATAACACTGTTATTGTGATTTTAAATAATGAAAAATAACCAATATTGTAGCTCCTTTATTCTTATATCTTTCTGTATCTATACGAGCAATTCGGAAAGTATAAGCATGTTTTAAACCTCTTTATCCATTTTCAATGAAGAAAAATAAGTTTTAAATAATTAACTTGGTAGTTTTCATTGATAAAGCTACATAAGATGTTTATCAGTTTTTCCGCTCCAGGATTTAGTAAATTCCGAAACAGCCTCTCGCAAAGTAATATTATAGTTGTTTGAGCCCTAGAGAAAACTGATAACTCTTACCTCTCTCTAGTTGTTCCCGTGTCGTACGTTGTGGGCGTGTCTGACAGTATTGTGACAAGAACCAATACTGCAGTTGTCAGATGTCAGGTTCCCACTGGTGTAAGTCATTATGTGGTGGTATCTGCTTGGGAGAGCAACAACGGACATTCTGTTCTACCTGATGCTGATCCAAGTATGTACTTTTAAAAGTTTACCTATCATCTAGCAGGTTTAATTGTTGTTTTATACTAAACTAGTTTGTGTGATCTATTAGGTTTGGTAGTTGCTTTACGCTTAGTTAACAAGTTTATATGTGTCTGTCTTATCCCAGCCGAAGTGATGAGTCTTGGTTTTAGCCAAAAGACTTCATTGGTGATAGATATAGCAGATATAGTGTGGTTCACCTATCATTAAATTATTTTTCAATTTCATTCATAAGTTCTTACCATACATCTGATACAATTTATTAACTGATTAAAACATTTGTCAAACTTTACACTAAATGGTCTCAGTAATATATGTTATTTTGAATAAAATTCTCCTTTCTGTTTTATTTTCCAGACTTCAGCGGAGACAAATACTTAGGCTTCTCTACGGGTGAACTTCACATTCATAATGTCAGAAATACGGACGATAAACAGCGGTTCAGGTGTCAGGTGACAAACATTCTAACGGGAGAGAGAACGTTCAGTTCATCGTGGGCCAAACTAGTAGTGACAGGTCAGAAATAACTATTGGTATTTTAGGTTCTGTTTTCTTCAAACTGTGAACTTCATATTGACTGTTATGAAAGCTAACACCGAGGATTTTCAAAACTCCAAATGTTTTATGATTTTGGTTTCCTTTGTTTCTCTACAGAACCTCGTAACAAATTCGCACCCAGAATACAAGAAGAAGCCAACATTGTGGAAGTACGTGAAAAACGCATCGCCAAACTTCCCTGTGTTGCTCATGGTCATCCTAGACCAGAGTATCAGTGGTATCGCCTCGAGAGTCTGAAACTAAGGGCAGTCGATCTGGGGTCAAGGGTGAACCTCTTACACGGGACCCTGATCCTTCGGGATACGAGAATTAGCGACAGTGGTGACTATGTATGTGTTGCTAAAAATTCCTTAGGTGAGCAGCGAACACAACGAACTCTTCTGGTAAGAGGTAAGTGGTTATCTTAGGTTCAGGTACAGTTCCTACTGAAGAGTGGTAGGTTCACGTACAGTTCCTACTGAAAAAGTGCTAGGTTCACGTACAGTTCCTACTGGAATAGTGTTAAGTTCACGTACAATTCTAACTGAAAGAGTGTTAAGTTCACGTACAGTTCTAACTGAAAGAGTGCTAGGTTCATGTACACTTCCTACTGAAAGAGTGCTAGGTTCACGTACAGTTCTAACTGAAAGAGTGTTAGGTTCACGTACAGTTCCAACTGAAAGAGTGCTAGGTTCATTTACAGTTCCAAATGAAAGAATGCTAGCTTCTTGTACAGTTCCAAATAAAAGAGTGCTAGGTACACGTACAGTTTCTACTCGAACAGTACTAGTTTCTCGTACAGTTCCAACTGAAAAAGTACTAGTTTCTCGTACAGTTCTTACTCAAACAGTATTAGTTTCTCGTACAGTTCCTGACATAGAACAATACTAGTTTCTCGTACAGTTCTTACTCAAACAGTATTAGTTTCTCGTAAAGTTCCTGACATAGAACATGTTTTCTTTTCCATAGCTAAGCTAACTGTGACAATCAGACCGAGGTCTCCAAGATTACAAGTTGTGAAATACGGAGAAAAAATTGGTTTGAACTGTACAGTCAATGGGAACCCTGTAGAAACGACTTACTGGATAAAAGATCAGACAGTGAATATAAAACAAACTCCTGATAGGAGGTTGGAAATATCTTCTTTTGAAAAGGAAGACAGTGGCGTTTACCAGTGTTATGCACAAAATGATGTCGATTCTGCCCAAGATCACGTGATCCTGAAACTTGAAGGTGAGTTAAACATTTCATTTAACTGTTTATATTTAAAATGATGTTGAATCTGCCTAATATCACGTTATTCTGAAAGTTGAAGGTGAGTTAGACATTTCATTTAATTGTTTATATTTAAAATGATGTTGAATCTGCCTAATATCACGTTATTCTGAAAGTTGAAGGTGAGTTAGACATTTCATTTAACTGTTTATATTTAAAATGATGTTGAATCTGCCTAATATCACGTTATTCTGAAAGTTGAAGGTGAGTTAGACATTTCATTTAACTGTTTATATTTAAGATGAGTTGACGTTGTCCAAGATCACTTGGTTGAAAAACTTAATAGTGAATAGGATATTCCATGTAACTTTTTATATTTAAATAAGGGGACGTACTTTGTGCATGTTCATAAAACAACACTAATAACACATCAAAGGATTAAAGCACAAGTAATTAAAGAATTAACAAAACATAAAATGTTCAACAGACTAATCGTGTTATTCTCAAGGGACGGAAAAACTGTTTTCAGCGTCTAGTAAGTTCAGGCTCAAAACGGACACAGAGGGATCAAGGTCCCCTAAAAATAGGAGATCACATTTAACACTAGTACATTTATATGGTGTTATCAGACCACATTTAACACTAGCACAATTATATGGTGTTATCAGATCACATTTAACACTAGTACATTT